CCTTGAGGGCTCTGGCAAAAAGGAAGACCTCATCTATTTGGCAACTTCAACTACTGAGGAAACATAGGTAAGATAAGTGACCAAAAGGGCCTCCGAGCAGAGTCTACAATGAAATAAACTCTGTGCTCTAAGGCTCACTGTCTGTTACTCAGAAAAGCACACAGACTCTTTCCTCTTGCTTTAGGATTGAGGCTAAGGAACTCGGTTATTTGATTTCTTGGTGTGGTAGATCAGTTTAAAAAATGGAGTCTATTTTCCCAGCCTTTGCATCTGGTCTGGGCTTGTGGTTTGCTTTTGTTGACAAAACACAGCAGAAGAGACAGAGTGCCAGTTCTAAGCCTCAAGGTGCTCTGCACGCTTCTGCTCTCTTTCTTGGAGTTCTACTATCCCCACGTGAACAAGTTCAAACTAGTCTGCTAGAGGATGAGAGACCATGTGAGGGGGAGCCCCACGGTCCCAGCTGAGGTCATCCTGAGCCAGCTGAACCAAACTCGTGAGAGAGCCCAGGCAGGATCAGCAGAGCTGCTGGCCCAGTCCACAGAGGCACACAGACACAAGGGCAGCCCCGCAGGCACAGACATGTGTACAAAGACACATGTGCACAGCCATGTGAGCACAGAGACTGGCACATAGACGTGTGAGCAGTAGTAAATGCCTGTTGTTCGAAGTCACTATGTTGTGAGGTGGTTTGTTACTCAGCAATAGCTAACTAATACACCTGGTCTGCTATAGGTTGGAAGTGGGATTAGTTTAGAGAAGAAGAAGGGCTACTGGAGACAAGTGTGAAGACAGGAACAAGAAAACAAGCTAGGGACTAAAAAGCAGAAAAAGACCCTCAACATAATGGTCTGAGGCTGTTTAGGAAAGGGAAGCATTTTGTGGCACTTAGTGAGACCCTGATCACCGACAGTTTTCCAGCACAATATGAGAACACTGACCGGAGTTATCCAGAAAACTGAACTGAAGTGCAGTGTCCTTTCTTTAAAAAGGCAAGAGCATGAACCATGTTTAAGAAAGATTCTCATTCACAATAGTTAGAGGAAAGGGGGTGGAAAGGGATAAATTAGGAGTTCAAGACTTGCAGGTACTAACTACTACATATAAAATAGATAAACAAGTTTCAACTGTACAGCACAGGGATCTATTTCCAGTATCTTATAGTAACCTATAATAAAAAAGAATATGAAAATGAATATATGCATGTATATGTATGACTGAAACATTATGCTTACACCTAAAGTTGACACAACATTGTAAACTGACAATGCTTCAACTGAAAAAACTTAAAGTGTTAACGTTATTTATCTGGAAAATTTATTTGTGTGTGCAAGGGCCACACCTTCTGAAGCAAAACTTGGGTGATATTTCAGAAAGGCTTTTGTACTGCTTCCAGGAAATGTAGTTTGGTTGCCATGATGTTCGCATTTCGGGGACATCTGACCACTCTTGGGGACAATGGGACAGAATAGTTGAAATCAGGATGACCCAAGAAAATCTGTACAGAAAGGCCAGCCTCTTCATGTACAGCCCCTCCCTCCTCAAAAGTGCCGGATGAGTGGTGCCATGGGAGGCAGCCAAGGCGGGGCACACAGGCTGCGGACAACAGGGCCAGCCCTCGGCAGCCTGTGGGGGCTCTCTGTGCGGGAGACTGAAAAGAGAGAGAGTGGGAGGAATTGTGTTAACACAAAACTGCCATCTGCAGGGCCAGCCTCGTTCCTTGGCCTGCCCTCTGTTTGTTCCTCTGGACAGGGCACATCCAGCTCATTCCATCTTATGCACTTGAATTCTGCTCCTTTCCAAAGCACCACTAAGCCCTGCACTGGAAAATAATAACCATTCACGTTCATTGCACGTGTAGTAAGTGCCAAGGACTTGATCAAGCTCTCGCCATGGATTAACTCATTGACGCTGCTAAGAGCTACTGCTCTCTCCCCTTTAAAGAGGTGGAACAGAGGCACAGAGAGGTGAAGCAACTTGCCTAAGGTCACACAGTTAGAAAATGGCTGAGGCGGGATCCAAACCCAGATGGCTGGTTCCATACCCGTCCCCTAAATTGTTCTGTTCTATGCCTTTAGTTTGCAGAGTTTCCTTATTCTTTTTCCAGCTGGGTCTGGTTGCACCCTTTGACTCATCCTTGACCTTTGCCTTTTTAGAACCGGACCTTTATAACCACCTTCCCCCCAGCCTCTGCCCAGGACCAGTTTTCGGGGAACTAAGTGAAAAACGATGTGCCCCTGTTCTCCAGGGGCTGCGGTCCTTTGCCTGATGGCTTCTGGTTAATGACCACTGTCCCCTGGGAGCAGGCCCAGGGACACCAGGGCTGGCATAGGGACGAGGTCCCCACCTGAGATTGCTCTGGTGAGCAGAGCAGTCGCACCCAAGGCCAGCTGCCAGCGCCACCTCCCTGTCCCCACCCTTGCAGAGCCGTTGACAGTCCAAGGCTCCAGGCTGCTTTATCTCCCGCTAACACCCGGCTCCTCTCCCTCCTCCTATCTGGGGGTTTCCTTGTGACTTTAATGAAAAACCCTTGTGTCACATTGCAAAGTTGCCAGTTATTGCTGCTGGGAATAAAATCTGGTCTCTGCTGGGCGGAGACTCGTGAAAGCTTCAGGCTGGGGAGTGAGGAGTGGATGGCTGGAATGAATAATCTCTTCAATGTGAGCAGCCTCTCAAGCGTAATTAGATGCTGCCAGGTGGGGCCCCTCCCTGACCGCAGGGAAACAAACAAACAATAGGTGCTGCCCGGCTCCCCTTCCGCACCGGGCTAGCTGCTGCCCCCACTCGGCGCACCTGCAAGGTTGGCCTCCCTCCAGCTGACTGGCTCTGGATCTCTCTCCACACCCCAAAGAGAAGACGAAGCTGGGGTCCCCTTTGATGTGAGCTCTCAGGTCACTGTGAATGGTAGACTGTGGCTTCCCCAAATCCTGAGACCTGGTCAGTCTACTGCAGAGTATTCAAAATGCAGGTTCCCCAAAAAAGACTCATGGCCATATAAAAACTGGTTACCAAAGGGGAAAGGGCAGGAGGGATAAATTAGAAGTTGGGGATTAACAGACACATACTACTATATATAAAATAGATAAACAACAAGGACCTACTGTAGAGCACAGGGAACTATATTCAATTTCTTATAATAACATATAATGAATCTGAAAAGAAAAAAAATACATGTATGTATATATGATAACTGGATCACTTTGCTGTACACCTGAAACTAACATTGTAAATCAACTACACTGCAATCACTATTTTTTTTTAAAATGTGGGTTCTCCGGATCTACTGGGAACCACTGAATCCAACTCCCCAGCACTAGGCTTGGGACTCTCCTTCATTAACCCACTCCCCGACTTGGATAATCAAAACCACGGACCCAGGCGACCAGACCCAAGGAAAGATGCTGTCACACGCACGATCTCCTATGATCGCAAACTCCAAGTGCTCTTCCAAGGCTAGCCCTGACCCTCACTAACACCAGGCCGGCCACTCCGGTCCCTTTTTTACAGAGAAAGAAGCTCATAGTTCCTCACATGCTCTGACACAAATGGAGTCAAAATCATCCCAGCTATTTCCCCCACATGCTCCCTTCTGGAAAAAAGGCGACCACAGTGAGATCTAAAAAGCAGTTTTATAGCTGGTACTCCGAAAGTCCCCTATTATGAGAGCTCGGGGAGGTGGCTCCCCAGCCGACAGGCTTCACTGAAACTGCGACTTCAGAACACCGTGGTCTAAATGTGAGGTGAGCTCCAGCCGCGGCAACCTTCTCAAGTATGTGCATTAGGGAAATCAGTAATCCTCAACAGGGTCAATTCTGGCCCTCCTGGGAACGTTTGGCAATGTCTGGAGACATTTCTGGTTGTCATTACTGTGAGCTGGGGTTTTGGCATCTAGTGGGTAGGGTTCAGGGATGCTGCCGAACATCTTCTCATGTACGGGATGGCCTCCTACAACAATGAAGTATTCTACCCCGAACGTCAATCGCGACACTGCCGCCAAGTCCTGGAATAGATACCAGATGCCACCAAAGAGATGAGAGACCCAATCCAGGGGTGTCTCTGGCCACCCGAAGGCAAAGCGTGAGTTCAGGTTTTGCATTTGGAAACGGGGTTTTATTTGCCTCAATTTGTTGTTATCTATCTAGAAACAAGATGTGGATCAATCCAGGGGCCAGCAGAGAAAGGCTTACAGGTTGAACACCCAGCCAGCCCTCTGTGTGAGGTGGGCTTAAAGGACCTACTTTACTGTGACAGCCAATAAACACTAAGGCCCAGCTTAAGCCCTTGATCCTTCAGATACTGGTCATCGCTTTAGCGGGAGCATATGGATGAACAAACCTTCTGTCTGGGGCCGCTTGCTCAGACTTACTCCATACAGATCCCCCCACCCCCGGTAGTCTCCCCTCTTTACTGAGAGTCCCAAAACAGACCAGTTAGTTGACAAAACTGAGTCTCCCATGAGTTAACAGAGGGGAACCAGCTACTGGCGCAGACTGTAGCACAAAGCTCCTGCAGCCAGCAGGCTGGAGGTGCCAAATATTTCTTTACAGTTGATTTGATGCAGTTTGGAGGTTGATGGTGTGTGGAGGTGGAACGCCTCCTGATGGTCCAGTCCCCTCCTGTTTGTGGAGCCAGCACCTCAAAGGGCACACATAATTTCTTTCCCCCTATAAAGTGAATCTAGGCGTTTTATAGCTGAGAAGGGAGCAATTCCGTTTGAATTAATCAAGAGGCTGAAGGTAAAAGTGCATTATGTAGCTTTTAAGGATGTTCTTCCTTGATTGGCAAGGTCCTGCAGCCACTCCCCAGAAAGCTTGCAACAGAACATTTCTTGGCATCAGTCAAGGGAGGTCTTGGTTGTACTCACACAGAGCCTGTGGTTTTTTCACCCATCAGCTTAAGAAATGACTATGGTCTGCCTCTTGGTACATGCTGGTCAGCCATAACCCTGTAACATTTCTCCTTTGTTAAATCAGAAGAAAGCAGTAATATTAAAGGAAACATACCTTTCAGCCACTTTGGACATTTTTAAACAATGTCTGTCAATCTGTGCATTCAAAAATGTTATCTGGGGAAAGGCAGAACAGAAGTGTGAAGACCAAATGGGAATATTTTCCCCCCTTCACCCCAGGAACCCATATCCTGTATTTCCACCAAGATCCAACACTTCCTTTGGACAGACTTCTCCAGTCCTCCAACTTTACAGTTTGCTTTTTTGGAAATTCCTATCACACTTGAGAAACACACTCTACAATTTAGCCCATGTCACATGTTCTCCTGTACTGTATTATAACTCGTCTTGATTCCCAAAAGCGATGGCAAACTTGAAGGTTGTTTACACTCTATAAAGCTTAGCAACAGCATGGAGGTAACACACACCCCATAAATATCTGGTTTGACTACTCTCCAGTGATCTTCTACGCAGCTTTCACACCTACACCGCACCCATGTACTTGGTGTCCTTGACTAGAATCACTGAGTAGCTATTTTACATACATCTGTTTCCTTTTCCCTACCCAACAATAAACCTGTCAACGCAGGCCCCTCACAATTTACTCCTTTGGGTGCCCCCCAGAAGCCAGTAAAGAATAATGCAATGAGTAGACTCTGAAGTCACTTCATTACTAGTGAACCCCCGGAAGGGAGTGATATAATTAGCTAGCGTATGCTGACCTGGGTTGACCAGTTAACTTCTCATTATGAGTTAAGATAACATGGAACCAAGCAACGCTGAAATGGCATTGCGAGTAAGGCTTGCTTTATTTGCCAACTTTCCTTTTGAACCGGAGCAATAAAGTTGGTGGTCCTGAGCTGGCTTCCTCTGAAAGCGTATTACAATTTTAAGGGCCCCCCTCCTCCAGCCCCCACAGTGTCTTGTGGGAAACCTGACCACGCCAGTCAGCCCACGGCACTGGGCTAACTCACTTACGTCCTTTTCTAATAACTGCTGGAGGAACCAGGTGGAGAATTTTTCCTCTCCAGCCTCCGTGAATTATTCACACACAGCACTCAAAGGTTCAAGTCACCCATAGCTGAGTTCCACTGTGCTTTCTAAGAACTCAAAGCTCAGTCAGCCTTCAGAGGTGAACACTCAAAAGGTTTTCAAACTGGCCATGTCTCCTCCTGAGAGCACAGTAGCCAATTCACTCACCTGTTTCCGGACGTCCTCTTTTGTAGTTTTCCTGATCGGCTGACTGGGGATGTGCACTGGGCTTTGCGACTGGGATTCTTCAGTCACACCGTACACTGACTAGAGAAGAAACAAGAATGTTTATTCATGCACCTTGAGAGTTGAAGGGGCCCAAAGGGTCAGCTAGTTCAAGCACTCATCTGATGCTGCTAATTCCCTCTATGACATCCTGACGATGAATTTCTGCTTGAATGTCTCCAATAACGGGAACCCTGCCTCCTGAGGCAGCTGGTCCCATCTCTGGGTTACCACTGTTAGAAAATCCTTCCTTTTATTGAGCTGAAATGGTCTTCTTGTCTATCTGTTTCTTCAAGGACAGTGCATAGACCATCTGCAAAGAATTATCTTGGATACTTGGTAAAGATGTGCATTGCTGAGCTCCACCCCAGACCTCTTGAATCAGAATCTTTGTCGGTGTGGTTTGGGGACCTTCATTTTCATCCAATGCCCCAGGTGATTCTGAGACATGAGAAAGTGTAAGAGCAACTGCTGAAGATTATGCACAAAAGATCCGCTCCAGATTTTCTGTTGGTCTGCAGGTGATGTGCCCGTCTGGTACAAACTCGAGATGGCAGCGATTCTCATTTTTTTCCTTTTAAGCTAATCCATTTTGTGGACTCACTTTTTCCACATCCCCACAGCTATGGCTACTTTTTAATCTGTTCCTTTTGTTAGAGTCAGATGAATGACAATCTTTGTTCTGGGAAAGAAATAAAAGCCTGATGGGTATACAATTTATTGCTGAAATCTATAAAATCAAGAAAAGCTCGGATATGGTGGATGTGGGCTCCATGAAATTCTGGAACATTAGAATCAGGGGATCTTTAAAGATTAAATGAGGACATTTTAATACTAACATCATAGCGTTGAATACAGGGGGCATCAATATCTCAAGGAAGAACAAAATGTATAAGTAAATTCAAGAAGCTGATACATATGTCATGTCACAAATTTAGATGAGCGAGAGCCATTGCCCCAGTATGGTGAAGCACGAATGACCACTGGTCACTTACAGTTGGGCGAGATGGTGGCTTGACTTTGGGAGACCTGGCTGTACTAAAAGACTTTCATTTGTTTCCAAGTCCCCAGCTGGCCTTCGCCTTGGGGATTTCCCGACTTTTTGTTCCTTTCGTTTCCTTTCCTTTCTACTGCCTCCCCAGAACCAACTGCTACTAATCCTTCAGACCTCCGCACCCTTGAGTCTGCTATGGAAGCCCTTGGGAAGAAGCCCTCAGTCTGGCGCCCCCTCCTGGTGTCCCTGAACCATCCTGTACTTCCCACTGTTGGTTTGCTTCATGCCCACCAGGCTGTGGGCTTCGTAGCACTTGTCACTGTATATCCATAGCCAAAACAGTGCCAAGCACATGCCAGCCACTCCATAAATATTTGTAGAATGAGTGAATGAAATGGCTTCAAAGGATGAAATGGGGAAGAATTACAACTAGCAAATTACTATCTGAACAGTACCAGAAATGGAAGGGTAATTCCCATCAAGAATTTTAAATTCAGCTAAACTAGCGAACCTTTTTAACTTTTTGCGGGTTCTTCAAACGTCGACATTTTCTGATATCCATTTCTGTTGTGTTCACACAGCCTGGCTGAGAAAAAAATCATCATATAAATTACTAAGTGAAAATCAAACATTCCAACTGGGCTCAAGTGACACCATCAGAAACAATCTTTATCTTTCCTGTTACAGATAAATACATGATTATCTCCATTTTGCCATTTGCAACATTTTTTTTTACAAAGATGTCTCATCTTCAATATGCGTTCCTCTGCAGTTCTCATATGAAATAAAACAGCTCACCTCATAGTATCTAAGGATGATATGTAGAGGGTAGTGTACAGTTTATGAGTGAATTTATTATTCAAAGTGGGGAGATGGCTTGTCACGGCCTTTGTTATTCCACACACTGAACCATCTAAAAACACTGCAGTATCAGGATGGGGAAGTATCTCTCTCTCTTTTTTTGGTTTTAGTTTTAATCAGCCTTGAGGAAGCCTGACATAGTTTATTCATTCTAGTTCCATTTCATGAGGAAAATACAAGATTTGTTTTAATAATGGGAAATTAGAAAACCTCCTTACTCATGGATTTCGTATTTGTGATTTTGCCTACTTGCTAAAATGTATTTATAACCTCCAAGCAATGCCTGTGGTGCCTTCCTGGTCATTTGTACAGAGCAGCAGAAATTTTGAGTTGCCCAGTGTGCATGTTTCCAGTGAGGTCGAACCAAGTGAGGCTCCACCTTCCTGTTCATCTCACGCTGTCAACAAGTGGCCTGTTCACGGTTTATTGAGCACCACGTTTTACACATTTTTGTGTATTTGTTGGTGATTTTGCTGTTTAAAATACCTGCCACCTCAGCCCTCCAACCTAGTGCTGTCAAGTATTCCTAAGTATCAAAAGGCTATGATGTGTATTATGGAGAAAATAGGTATATTGGAAAATCTCCAAGCAAGTGTGAGCTCTAGAGCTATTGGCTGTGAGTTCAATGTCAGTGATCAACAGTATATATTAGATAAGGTGTCTCTAGACCAAAACACACTGTGAATAAGGTTATATATCGATCAGCTGATGAAAATGTGACCAGACGCTTGCAGGGACCTAACCCTGTATTTCTCCCAGGATAAAGGTAGGCATCTGCTAATTCGGTGTTCTCAGTGACTTTATAGAATATAACTACTGTGAGTAATGACAACTGGTTGCATTAGAAAGAGAATATTCTAAGATTTAGAGTTGAATGCAGTAGACATGGAAATTGCCTCATTCAGGACTGTAAACTTTGGGAGCCCAAAGTTCCCCAGGTGGAATTCCCACAACTCCACCATTTCCAATTCCATATATTCATGGATAGATACTTTTAAAAAGGTGTAACTGACATACATTCCAGAAAATCTCCTGAGATTCTATGAATGAATGGCAAAACTATTGCACAAAGCTTAGTCAGCAATTGTCTTAACAATGAGATGCCTGGTGGCCAAACGCAGTCTTTTCTTTTAAGGGAAGGAAGAGAGAAAATTTCTAAAAACTTAGAGAACCAAGCAGAGCTTTCTCACCACTGGCCTGTGCACATCCCAAAAGGCCCGTTCTTGACTATCCAAAATTTTCCTTTCTGTCTTGTCCTTTTTCCGATCAATCCTGAAAGAGCAAAAAAGCAGGAGATCAGAAGCCTTTGTCTTCTGTTTTCCTTCCTGATCCATGTGCCACTCTGTGCTCTCGTGTTTTGGGACCTTAGTGTGCCCACGGCTCTTAAACTCTCTGCAGAGTTGTATAATACGGGTGTATTTCCCTCAAGGAAACCTCAAGAAGCCCACACACAGTAAGAGAGCTTGCTTTAGGTTAGATTACAAGTTACCAAATACGTGTAATGAACAGGGTGAGCTTTAGGAGGGTTCAAGAATGCAACTGTCTGTCTGAATTATTAAGAGTTGGATTAAAAGAACTGAATGATCTGTTGACATGCCCCCTCCATCAAAACGGATACTGCATATTCAAATTATAGGAAGGAATGCAACCATAAGATTGCACTGTTTCAACCTCAAATTTGAAAGTTTGCTTTAGATTCAGAGTCAGTTGGAATGTCTTCAGAATGCTGCAGTTACGTGTTTTAGAAGTCACTTAAACCATCTGGCTTTCTAAAAGCAGAGTAATAGCCCTAGCTTGTGAGAAGATCCAGAAGGCAGAGATCACTGGCCTCAGCTCGGGGGATGGGGGGCTGGAGGGTGGGAGGACGCAGGTGCAAGACAAGGGCAGATTCCTTAGGTTCTGATCAGGAGCACAGATAAGAGCCTTCTGCCACCAAAAGCCCGTATTACTTCATACTCTCTAAGTAAAAAGTAACTCAGGTGAACTACCATGTAACCTCTGGTTCTTGGCTTTCGTGGGAGTACTTTATTTTACTGGACTGAAATAAACCCACAATAACCCTGTGATTTTTGTGATAATTACTGTGTACTTAAATGGCCCACATTATAATGTAATCACAGAGTTAATCAAAAAAGTGAATCGAGGTATACCATATATGTACAAAGTGACACCTTCCCCTCTGTTGATAACACGCGAGGCTGTGTGATCCTGAAAGTGTAATCAGTCCTCCTCTTGGCTTCCTGGTGGCTTCTGAGTGCACAGGCTCAGTTCTGCCTCCTTCTCACCCATGCACCCACCCTCCTGCTTTCTCCTTCCCCCGGGGCCAGGGCTCTTCCAGCCGCAGCTCAGCATCCAGTGCCTGGTGTCCACCTCCCCTGGGAGCCGCTGGGAGCATGGGGTAGGGGTGGGTGGGCAGGTGTGGGGATTCGTGGGTGTAGGGCAGAGACTGCAGAGGGAGGGGGAGCCTGATGGCACCGTGCAGCCCACTGGACCCAGTGACTGCAAGTCGTTCCCAGCTGTGACCGTACCTGTGACTAATGTCACCCACACAGCCTGAGACTCAGCTCTGGGCGATGGGCTGCAATGGTGCCCAGGAGTGCACAGGGATCCTCTGAAGACCCACGGGGGCTGCTCAGGTACAAGTGGTGCTCAGAGAAAAAGTTCTCGCCTCATCCCAGCTCAGCAGCCTTTCCCCACCCCCTCCTCTGCCCCTGTAACGCTTGCAGCTAAATCAGAGGCCATTGCTGGAAAGGACAAGAGGGAACCCCACCTGAGCAAGTCCATCTCCTGGAATCAAAAGGATCTGGTTGACAACCATGTTTGTGAACTGAGGGACATTCGCTGCCCACTCCTCATGTTTCCTTAGAAAGGAAAGAATTTCTACTGTACTCCCTGGGAGGGAAAAATAGGGGAAAAACACCAACTTTTCTCCTCCTTCATCTCTTGTTCTCCAGGGGAGGAAGACTGACTTATTGGCATCTTTGAAAGAAGAAAATGAGAAAGTTCAAGTCGGTCCTTCTGGGCCCTGCCTGGGCCAGCTTGTTCTCCGGATTCCTGTTCTCTGTGTGCAGTAAACTTACAGGGGTCAACTCTGCCCTGGGGTGGGAGGAGGTCCTGCAGATACTCAGCTCTGCCCAGGGTGGGTGAGCTTGATTCCAGTGTAAAGGTCTGTGGTCACAGATTAAAAATCATGTCTTGTAACTAGTTTTAGCAGTGATAACTTGACATTTTGGACTGCAAATGTCCGACCTCTGTGCCTTACCTTGGATTGGTTCTGAACTCCCTGCTGGGGAGGTATGGGGGAGGGGCTACTTGTTGGCCTCCCTAAAACTCCACTGTGTTTTCCTATGAAGACGAAATTTCCAGACCAGCAGGTAAAGTGGGTCTGATGTTTTTCAGCCTCTGAGCACAGGAGGAGATTTGGAAATCTCCTTGGGAATTAGGTATACCTTCTTGGAACCAGAGTTCTACGTTTGGGAGGAACCCCATTGCCTGCTGGAACACACACTTTTGAAATTTTAGAGTGCCATAGGTGACAGAGATGCAACTTGCCCATCCTAACCTTGACTTCTGCTCAGTTACTATCATGAGAGAGACAGTGACTAACCACAGTCGGCCGGCCCTAGAAGAAAACCCCACTGTCACCCCACCTCCAAATTCCAGAGAGTCAGAGAGTCTTTTTCTCTTTGCAAGGGTCTCTATTAAGTTCACCTACTTTACTTGTGCTTCTGCTTGCATGAAGATGAATTCCCACTTCCTTGCAAAGGCCCTCTGGAGTCTTGCTAAGTTTTCCTAATGAGAAATAAAAATCAACAAGAAGGCATTAATCATCGTAAGTTTGCACATCGACACTTGTGCTTATTACAAGGTAGCCATCTATTTTGGTTACTCCCAACCCAACAGCAGGTTCCCCCTTTAAATGCATTGGACATGAACCCAATTTGACTTTGCACCAGACCCTGCTGTACAAAGCAGAACTATTAATATTCATTTACACACCCATTAAATCTGAAGTCTCTGGGGTTCCTCTGGTTCCTCTCCTCTTGTGTGTTTTACAAGAACACAACTCACACAGCACTTGTCATAAAGGCCACTGAAGACAGGAAGGATGGTTTGCGGTTGCTCAGGCAGGATTTGGGGAAGGGACAAGGGGTCTTTGCAACTGACTGGACATCTCTGGGAGCAAAACCAACAACGGATTTCTCAAGACTCATCTTCCAGTGAGCCGGGGACTGGGAAGGTGACAGGAAAGGAGAACTCAGAGGACCTGGCAATAACTTTGAAAGCCTGGATTCAAAAGGGGAAAAGAAGGGAGTGATGAGGTTTGTGATGTTCACGAAAGGAAAACCCCGAACAAAAAGAAAGAAAAGGCATCCAGGGTTGTCTTTAGAGGAAGAGGGGAGAAGCCTTTTCTCAAAGCCTGGAGAGTTACCTAGTGGCACAGTAGGGACGATGAGGAGGGGCGTCTGACACATCCCCTAATGATCTGCCTAATTCTGATGGAATGCAAAGCGAGAGCCCACATCATGCTGTGTATTTTCACAGCCCTCATGCCAACATTAACTGATTACCCTCATTAGTGGATTATTAATATAAAATGAGCTTTGGTTGAAGACCAGCACGTGTAAACTTGGTTATTACCAAGGCTTGGTGTACAAGTACCTCAGAAAACTGTCCCTTTGATTCTTCTACTGTTCACAGGAAGCAAAGATGGTAAAGCCTGAATGTCAGGCAACTGGGGAGCAGTTATATAAATTATGACACAGGCATACCATGGAATACTAGGCAGCCATTAAAAATGATAATGCAGATAATTATTACTGATACAGAAAGAGTATGACTGGGGAAAGAAGCAGCTTGCACAGTAATGTTTATGGTGTGATTCAAGTTTTTTTGGTTAGGAAAGAAATGTATGTACAGAAAAAAGCGTAAGGGAGAAGGACTGAAGGTTATTTTCTCTTCTTTCTTTGCTGTTTGAATTTTTGTTTTTACAAAGGGACTATGTGATCAGAAAAAAATAATAAAATGATGGAATTTTGAAAATAAAGTGCTTTTTTAAAAAAAGTTTTAACCACTTTTAGGCAGAACTTCAACCCAAAAGAACGTCTTAATGCCATACTCCGTACAAATACTAAAGTAGAATGTTGTATGGCAAGAGAAGAGACAATGGAATAAAATTCATCAGGATTTGGAGCTGTCTTGTTTCCATCTAGGAGCTTTTCTAAAACAGGGGGGACACGGGGAAGGGAGACACAGGACGGAGTGGCATGTGCTGCTGCGGTCTGGCTTATTCCTGTAGGTTGTGTTCGGGAAGGGATGTAGTCATGCTGTAAAGCACTTTGCACTGGGTGCACGGAGAGTCAGACAGCAGTCTTCTGGAAGAGCGGTGACTGCTGGCGCACGAGGGTGGATGGTGCAGGGGCTGGGTGCCTGGGATGCTCAGAGCATAGAACTGCCATGCTCAGGTTGTTTGGGAAGATCATAACATTCAAAAATATTTGTTTCATGGCTCCCACAAACAAGTAAACTCTAGCCAGTTCCCGAGGCTCTGGGTAAACTCTGCATCCTTCACTACTGCTTCCGCCCATTCACAGGTCCTGTGATGCCCATAGAATCAATGTGGGTGGAGGGCCATCCACTGGCCCTGCTCTCAGATGGCATGCACGTTCCCCTTGGGCTGAAGAGAGGGGAGCAGTGGCTCAGTGGGTTGGTGGGCTTGGGCACAGGTACCCAAGAGGGACAAGGTCTGGTGGAGCAGGGCCTCATGCTTGTTTTGGCAGAGTGGGAGGTGGGTGGATCTGAGGTGCTGTCAATGCTGGATCATCGAGGAGGATTCCTCCCTGCCCCTAATGCTGCCCCTCCTCCAAGCTGCCCGCCCTTCAGTCATTCCATGCTCAGCAGCACCTCCTCTGGAGGGAATGTGAAAAGCTGGTCAAAATCCCAGATTCTCTGTGACCCATACGAAGTTTGGTTTTGGAAACCAAAGATTCTGCAACTCAGAATTTTAAGACATTTTCTGTGAATCTTCAAGTTCTCTGTGCTTTGGTTGTTAAATGGGAATGGATCTGAGGGTGGTGGGACCTCCGGTTTCTATAAGAAATCACACCTTATGAAAGAAGGTGGAGGGGGAGGAAAGCTGGGAAAGTGTATCTTCATCTGACAGGCATCTGACCTTCTGGATTGGATTTGGTCCTTAGATGCTGCATCTACTGCCAGGCACAGGTGGATTAGGTATGAAGATGCAATTAAAAATTATCATATACTAAATTAAAAAATTATCATATAGTAAATTTGCTTTTTCTGGTGTATACATGTATATTTTCATGTAAGCATCACAGCAACTGGGATCCAGAATGGTTCCATCACCCCCAAAACTCCCTGTGTTCTCTTTATAGCTGCTTCCTGGCAGCCACTGATCTACTTTCCCTCATGATGTCTTTGTAGTTAGAAGAGCATCACATAAGTGGAATCACACAGTTGCAATCTTTTGAGACCAGCTTCCTTCACTCAACATAATGTCTTTGATACTCCTCTGATCAACAGCTTGTTCCTTTTCATTGCAGACTAGTATTCCATTATATGGCTATAGCATAGTTTATTCAACCATTCACCTGTTAAAGTGCATTTGGGTTATTTCCAGCTTTGGATTACCACACGTAAAGCTGCTACAGACATTAGTGTACAGGTTTTTGTGTAATTGTATGCTCTAGTTTCTCTAGGGTATGTATCTAGGAGTGGAATGACTTGGTTATATGATAAGTGTATGTTTAACTTTATGAGAAACTGCCAAACCATTTTCCAGAGTGGCTGCACCATTTTGCATTCTCACCAGCAATACAGGAGAGTTCTAGTTGCTCACCACATCCACACCAGCACTTGGCATCATCAGTACTTCTCATTTTAGCCATTCTATTAGGTGTGTAATGGTATCCCATCATGGATTTAATCTTGTATTTCTCTAATGGCTAATGGTATTGAACACCTTTTCATATGTTTCTTTGTCATCCTCACGTCCTCTTTGGTGAAGTGCTTGTTCTAGTCCTTTGCCAGTTTTTAAGCTGAATTGTTTTCTTATGGCTGAGTATTAAGAGTCCTTTATATAAAGATGTGATTTTACTGTTATGGTAAGAGGAGCTGAGAACAAAAGAAGGGAAAATAGAAGAGACTTCCTTTCTACTGCCTGAAGGGGTTGGGGAGGGAAAGGGGGAAAAAAAACCAAGTTGAAACAGAGCTGCAGACAGTCTTATACTCTCCTCCCACACCTTTCTGGAAAATAATCATACTTACTGCTTCATAATCTGCCAGTTCCAGCCTTGCTTTATTCTGCATTGTCCTCTTACAGAGGTAGATGGCTGAAGGAAGAAGAGAAATTACAACATATGGACAACCAGCAGTGTGCTGGAATCATAAATTCACCCATCCATTTGTTCACCCACTCATCCATCCAGCCATCCAGCTGGACGGCCAGCTCTCACTGTGTGCCCAGCACTGTGCTGTGAAGAATGTTTCTACGTGGAAGCCACACCTGACCTCTAGGAATCTTTCTGCAAGTCAGGGTCAGATGAGGACTCCATCTTCCAATCTTGACAACCCCCTTCATCCTCCTCACTCTGCTTCACTCTAAACGTTCTCCATCAGGGTGATCCTTCACAAATATGACTGTGTTACCTTCCTGCCTAAATTCCCTGCACTGACTCCTTGGTGACCTTAGAAGAAAGGTTGGGTTTCTTAGGGCAGCATGTTTGTTGCTTTAAGAGCCGGTCTCTGCTCATCTTGTCAACCTCTTCCCTCTAGCACTCAAGCAGGCGAGACTACCAAATCCCTTTCAGCCCCACCCCTCTGTGTCTGTGCCCACTGTTTGGGAGGCCTACCCCTCTTCTGTCTTCTTTCCCTCTGTCTACTGGAAACCTCCTACTAATCTTTGAAGACCTAGCTTGATGTTCCCGGTAGCATCTATTCATCCTCCACCATGGGACCTAATTCCATTGCACTGTAATTGTGGGTTTACCAGCTGTCCCTGCTCTGCCCTGAAGGCTCCTGTAGGGTGGAGATTGTGTTCTGCTCAGCATGAACCCCTGCACCCTGCACCAGGGGTGGGGCGAGTGGACAGTGAAAAGGGAGGACAGTTTAGGTGGAGGTTCTTGGCCCTCAGTTGCTGGAACATTCTTCCTGAGACATGCCCTTCATCACTTCCTCTCCCTGCCTCTGCTTCTCCAGTGCCCAGTAGAACGACCCAGGGAAGACAGCAGGTGAATGGTATGCACGAACGACCAGGAGAGAAGGTCAGAGAGGACCGGGGGCCGATCTGCTGTTTGACAACTTAATTATACCAGGAATTCTGGTCAGCTCGTTGCTGGATTAACCAACCTTCTCCACGTGGTCTGAGAAATTTCCTGATGCAGCCTACGATACGCTGGAAACTTCAGGTAGCATGCCCTCACTTCTGCTCACACCAGTTGAATTTGTGAATGAGATTCAGTTGTGTTTGTTCTCAAATCTGCTCATGTCAGGCACACCTGATATTTTAATAATGTATGTTCACTAAATATTACATGCACTGATGAAATTAATGTGAAAAGAGAGAGTGTTGATGTTTCCCTAAGGACCTGGTTGAATGGTCTGGGATAACTTTGATAAAGGAGAGTCAGCTAAGACAATTGCTGATGAATTTGGTACCAGAGAGAGAACTGAAAAAATGGGAAGAAATAATAAAAATCTGAGAGGGGTCAAAATACAGTTGCATCAAAAGTATTTTTAAAAATTTTGATGAATGTTCAAGATGTCATAACTGGTTGGTTTATTTTGAATGTGGATTATTTACAAAAGAAACTCAAAGTATGGGGACCTATAATCAGAGAGAATCTTTCATCCTACCTCAAAGGCTGTTGAATAAATGTTTATTGGTCTATTCTACATTAATTTGAAGTGGCTAAGGTATAGCTGTATCACTTTTTCATGATTCTTTACTTATCAACTTTTCCAGTGAATCATACAGCTCCAGCTCTCCACTGTGTCAGACACAGGGCTGTCTGCTCTATTACAAGGTGCCTCCTTTGGTCTCTTGGGCCACCAATTAGGCAGCCTGTGGAACTGCGGGCCACCTGCAGCAGGAAGCCTGGCATGTCCCCAGCTCCAGCAGACCTGGTCTCGATGACCCAGGAGCAGTGTAGGTCAGTGGGGGTGGCAGCTGCCTCGACAAGGCTGCCTCAGACAGCATTTTGTATTGGCCAAATGTGAAACTCAGGAAAGTCTAACCCAGATCTGGTCTTTATTTAAGCAGAATCATCCTGAGAAATTTCCAGCCCATTTGGGTCAAAATGGGCCAGCTGGGTGGAGAAGTGAAGCACCATGCGTGGAAGGCAAAGCCGGTACCTTTCCTGATGACCACGGGTTACATGGTCACGGGCTGGCAGCCCCTTTCCCTTGCGGCTAATTTCACACAATGGCCAGTCTGTTCACCACAACAGGGGAGGCAGCGAGGCTGCTGAGTGGACCTTGTTCTCGGCATAGACCTTCCCTGGGGCTCGGTGCCTCGGCAGCGCTCACCCTGACACCTAGCCAATCACGTGACCACTGGCAATGACAGCCAGTCCTCTTACAGGGCATCTGGGGGACTGCTTTAAGCTCAGATGTTGGTTTTCTTGGACATGTAATTTCTCATTGAAAAAAATCTTTGTCTTCTGGCCCTTATACTGGTGTCTCTCTTGGATGACCCATCACCATCTCAGGCTCGCTGCATCCCACCGTGACAAAAACAGAACACAATTAACAGGTTTATAAAGTCAGTAGATTCAAGTACTCCACATGCAAGCCAACCTTTAAAAAAATATTGAATTTGTCCTATTTCATTTGTCCTTCAAAGATGACTCCCTTTCCAAACTTTCTGTCTTTACTAGTGACGTCATGATTTACCTCCTCAGTCTCCTAAAATAGGGAACAGAGAAACCACTTATTTCTCTGCTTTCCTCATACCTTCTAATTACTTTTTAGAACAATGGGATTTAGCACTGGAGGTAACCTCGGTCACCACCAAGGACAGACCCCTCACTGCCAGATGGAAAAATTAAAGGCTCAGAGAGGTGCGGTGATTTACCCACGGGCTAGTTAGTGGTGGCGGGGTTTCTGCTTTTTCATCGATCCAAGCCATACCCATCCTGACTTCGTAGCTTCAGTGTCACATCCTTTCCGGCAAGAGGGTGACTATAGAACTAATAAGATCGAACATCAAGTAGTAATACCAACCCCCAATCATGGTTTTCATTGACTCCTTACTCCGTGGCCGAAGCTTACAGGCATTTCTAATTAACAAAACAATGTAATCCTAACAAAGCAACACTGGGAGACAAGCACCATTATTCTCCTGGTTTAAATATGAGGTTTCGGAGGCACAGAGAGGTTAAGCAACTTGCTAGGATCACACAGCTAGTGGAGCCAGTTGACAATGAGCCTATTGTGCTGAGTTCCCTCTTGGTAAGTACATATCAACGATTTTCTGACTCAGCTGGAAACCCCAGTGAGGACTCGTGCATCCCGCGCTCTGAATTCTCCATCTGATTTGCCAGAATGGAGGCACAGGAATTCAAGCTTTATTGAGAGAGCCTGATATACGTTGTTGTTTCCATCCCTGTTCATGCTGCACGGGAGATGGTGCCTTGCTGCACGCAGGGTAAGACGGCCGAAGCTTTGTGGGCTGACAGTCAAGTGAACATTTGAATCCTACTTGGGCCAGTGACCTGGTCCCACCATCCTCCCGCTCTGCTCTCTCCATTGCCTGGAAGAACACTGGTTTTCACATTCACAAGGGCACATGGCTGCTGCACAGAACGGAGCTTCAATTATTCAAATTCCGAGCTGGGCTTTTGTGAGCAGTGTTTCAGCCCCAGAAGCACTTATTTTATGAGCAGCCAAATGCTGTTCCCGTTTGGAGCCAGAAGCCTTGCTGAATCCACTTATCACATCATTTAGGGCGCAGCACAGTTCCAGAGGGACCCACGGTGGTGCCTGCAGACAGATGGCCCCGTGGTCTGCATAAAGGCCATCCTTCAGACTTGAACAGAACACCTGTAGCCTTATGAGGCGATGACTTGCCCGTATGCCGTCCTCAGAATTGCTCCCAATTGCTGGCTTCCCCTCCCTCAGAAGTGTAATCCAGAGCATACAGCTTATCACAAGGTCTCAGGGACAGGCTCCTCTAAATACCACCTGGCTGCAGCTGCCTCTGCCTTCCTGTGCATCCTGCAAAGAACCCACGGAGAAGCTGCGGGTCTCATCGTGAGCCCCAGTCCTGAGGAGAGCTGCTGTGGGCTGCCCCTGCAGCTGAGTCAGTGACGAGGGTGCTATGTGAAGGGGCAGACCATGAAAGGAGCATCTGAGTTCAAATTCTGCTGCCTCTACTGAGTGTCTGTTAATCACCTGTAATAAGGAACCAGAACCATCAGCAAATGTCTGCTGAGCTTCCACTGTGCCTCAGGCATGCACTATGCACTGGAAGAGAGAGAATGAATAAGGTGGACCGGTCCTGCCCTCTTGGAGCTTACAATTGACCAGGCATCCAGACAAGTAGAATACGGTGTGATAAGGGTGAGGATGTGGCCTCTTGGGCCTCAGCTTTTTCTGAAGTAGAGGGATGACATGACTTCTTTAGAAGATTGACACCATTGATACATTGAACATTCTTCACGGAGAGTGTATGGCAAGAGTCTAATAGATCCCTGCCTGGGCAGAGGTAATTCCCTGCTTACTCAGATCCCAGCTTCTCCTACTCTTTGTTTTCCTAGGTAGGGTAACTTTTATACACCCCTCCCTGTACCATTTCCCCTTAATTTCCAAGTATCAAAAACAATAATGAATTATTAATAAGTTTTAACAAGTCTGTGAGAATAGAAAGGGATACGGGAGGTGGCCCCTTGATCCAGCCCTCCCTGAAACCCTGTCCCAGGGAGGAGTGGTCAACAGCCACTGTCCCAGTTCTCCATGGCCCTGCAGAATGAGCACAGTGGCCACTCTTGATAGAACTTTCCTTTCCTTCCCCAATTCCCTTCCAACAGCTACATCTTTCACTGAGCTCTGCCTTTCCTCATTATTTGGAACAGAAATTTTATTAACTGTCAACAATATGAGAAAGGGCTAAGGAGGGCAAAGACACTCCTCCACACGCACCACAGTCACCTAGACAGCAAGCATTTATCTGCTACCTTCCCAGGAGTAACGCTAGGTGTGAGCGTGACTTTGCTGCTCACCGTAGTCGGTGTTCTCAGGCTCCCAGCAGTTCGAAGGCCAGAAGTACGGGGCCTGCAAAAGAGCACAGTTGTCAAGAGCACTTGCCTTCCCCTGCCTGGGGACCAGGGCCTGCACCCAAGGGGACCCTTCCCTACGACAGGCTCCGTCTCCATCTCCCTCGTGCTGACACCATGCCCGAGCCCTCTCCTGCTCTTAATGCAGCTGAGGCCAGTCAACGTTTCCATCTAGGTGTTGAGAAATGAAATCTGAGGTAAGCCACATAAATGCAAAAACGAGAAACTTAGTCTACAAGGCAAAACCCTTTTATCCTGAGACAACAGAAGTCTAACACAGAAGTCAGACAGGCAGTTTACTGGGGCACAAGCCCAAAGTTCCTTTATCCCTTTCCCATGAGCTGAATGGTGCTCCCCCAAATTCATATACTGAAGCTCTAACCCGCAGCATGACTTATGTGAGGTAACGGAGTAATTAAGGTTAAATGAGATCACAGGGGTGGGGCCCTGATCAGATAGGGTTAGTGTCCCTTTAAGAGGAAACACCAGGGAGCTGCAGACCCCTCTGTCTCTCTCTCTCTATTTCCACCGTGTGAAGACACAGTGAGAATCAGCCATCTGACAGCCAGGACGAGAGCTCTCCCCACAAACTGAACCCTGCTTGAACCTTAATCTTAGTCTTTCAACCTCCAGAACTGTGAGAAATAAACTGCTGTGACTGGAGCCACCCAGTCTGTGATACTTGGTTATGGCAGCCAGGCAGACTTAGACATCCTTTCTCCCTGTCTGAAGAACTCCACTCCCAGACTCTTTGGTTTAGACCTGAACACAGCCCCTTATCTTCTGCTCCAATTCCCTGTAGGACAGGATCTGAGAAAAAGAGTGGAAACTGGTTGGGAAGTGATAACAGGGAGTGAATAGAAACTTCACTGAGGAAGGCAGGGTGATACAGTAGAAAAATCGAAGACTTGGCTATCAGGCCGACCCAGGTTCAAATCAAGGATGTTGCCTAGATTTACTAAATGCCCCGTGAATTCTCAGCACCTCAGTTTTCCCAACTGTAAAATGTGTGATATTTATTCCCCCAAAGCTTGCAGAATAAAAGAAGAGATACATGTAAAGCACCCAATGAATAGTACGTTCTCCATGAGGGCTTTTTACTATTAAGTGGGTGGGGCAACAAATGGCTCAGACAAAAGTTTATTTGGTTTTCAAAGTGCTGGCAGGAGGCAAGGGTTGCTCCCTGAAATACCACCCATTTTGGGGGTAGTTCCTATCTGAGATCAGACGACAATGAGAAGAAAAGGTTCTTAGGAAGACAAGCTGCAGGCCCACCTGGAAACGATAAAAGGTCCCATCGTCCTTCATGGTGAGAACGTGGTCCGAGATCGGAAAGACGTAGCCCTGGGCAGCTATGAGGCTTCCCAAGTGTATTGCTTCAACTGCGGAGACAGGGCAAGAGAAGCAGTTAGGAAGCTGTCAGAATGCAGGGGCTACTTAGCTGAAAAGTAAGCAGAAAGGCAACTGGAAGTCAGCAGGCACCACCCTCAGGTAACTGTGTGACTGGCTGATAACTTTCTGATATGACTGCACTGGAAGGGAGCGGTGGAGGGGGGAGGCGGCAGACATCAATGGTTGGGAAGGGCCACACGTGTCTGGGACTTCTCTGGATCCCAGCTCTGAGAGTCTGACATTGTTAAATCCCCCCAGGGCTTCCAGAAGAAAGTCCAGCTTCAGGGTTAGGATCGTGCGCTTTGGTGTGGATGAACTTGTACTTAATTAAGTGAGATGCTTCGCGTAATGTGCTTCGTAGTGTCTGGTGCAGAGTAAGTGTTCAGTAAGTGCTGGCAGCCCTAATTTGTATTTTTAGTTTCATCCTTTTTTATCACCCCCAGCAATGAGCATGCAGCCCATGGAGTCTTTGGACTCACAATGCATTTCCAAACATGACAGTCCCACCAGCAGTGAGGAGGGTGTTACCATTCTCTTACGGACACAGAGGGAAACCTCACTTTCTAAGAGTGCTGGAGGAAGGGCAGCGCAGCGAACGGTGGCATAGGGTGGCCAGCCTGATAGAAATATTTATATTTTTGCCATAATCAACCTGTTGGCTTATTAGTTTAGCACCAGCCATAAGTAGATTCATATAAACAGGTAAGAATTTATATTTATTTTGAGCAGAGTTAAGAAAAAAAGAAATCTGAATGGTTCTACCATGCATGATAATCTTTCACAAATACAAAAGCAGTCTTACTGATAAAAACTACTTTTGGGGTGTCGAAGTTGTTGATGGGCTCAAGGAGTCACTAGGAATTATTAATTTCATAAGCTCTGAATTTTTTAAAAGTGACTCGTTTTGGCTTTACTCGTAAACTTCTCAATAGTCTTAGCAAATAATTAAACCTCTTAATTGTGGAATCAGGCAATCTCCTTTTAAGGGCTGGCTCTAGAAGGCTGTTCGCTGACACTGCTGCAACTTCCAAGGGGTTGTGTTTATTCCAGGTGTTTTGCACATTTAGAACCACCGATTCCCCTTCGGAAGCAACGTGCACTTGGGACTGGAGGAACTGGAACACCCGGAGCTGTGTTTTCACTTGAGTGGTGATGACCAGTTTGCTTTTTTAAGTCTATACACTTCAAGGACTGTAAGTCCAGCAGAAAAGGGAAGTTTCAGCACTGGCAGCTGCTCCTTCTCCAGGGAAAGAAGAACAAAATCCTGCGAGAAGGAGACTTCCACGTCACTAGTCTAGGCGCCAGAAATCTCACTTCCTTCTTCAAAGGGCTTTTGCTCAGAGATGTGGCAGGTGAGAAGAAAGACGGGAGGGAGGGCGGATGGTGGATGCCTGACTTCCTAGGGCCTTGGTTGGCCTCATTTCTGCTGGTAAATTGTTCTTAACTCCTCCTGCTCAACCACTTCGCAGAAGCCCAAACAAGTTTCAACACCTCAGTGTCCTCCCAAGGACGTCAGAGCGTAACGGATCTTCACAGCTAAAATCCTCAACATTGAGCCCTTTCACAGAAGCGTCTCACACCAGGGCCAGAGGATGCCTGAAGCTGCTCCACCACTAGGTGGTTCAGGGTTCTAGAACATACTGTTACTGCTACTACTACCACCGCTAACAATAAGAAGAAAACACTTGTCAGAAATACAATGATTACTTGAGAAGGTCAAAGAAAACAGTGCTCTTGGAAGAAAAAAGACCACCGTAAAGAAGGCTGGCTCTAAACACACCGAACAGAATGGGCAGCGATTTACTCAGTCCAGTTTTCACAAGCGGACAGTAAGTCCAGGCTGTGTAAGGCACACGGAAGGAAACTGACTTGGGATTTTTCCTTAAAAGGATTAGCATGTGCAGTTTTCCTCTGTGGATTAAGAACTTGACTAGAATTGAGGATTTTCACTAGTCATGAGAGGGGCCATTAATCATGATGGTGAAAAAGGCTAGTGTCACTTTCATTAATGACCTGCTTTCCTGGCACTCAGAGTTCTGGCAGCTATATTTAATTGAACTCTACGTAAATTGTATTGTTTCATAGTCAATAGTATATTAGGGGCGTCAGATTAAAATTCAGGAATG